TCGTGTCCTACCTCAAGCTTCACAACCTTTTATAGAACTTTTCAGCAAGCATCCTAAACTCGTTCGCGTCCTGAACGACTTGCCTCCTGTGACGTCAAACGTCATGCATCACATTTGCACTAAGGGCCCACCTGTTTCGGCCCGCCCTCGCAGACTAGCCCCGGACAAGCTCAAAGCTGCTAAGGCGGAATTCGAGCAAATGCTCGAACTGGGAATAATCCACCCGTCCAAAAGTCCATGGGCATCACCATTACACATGGTACCGAAGAAATCCGGTGACTGGCGCCCCTGTGGTGACTACAGGGCACTTAACAAAGTTACCGTCCCGGATAAATACCCCATTCCGCATATGCACGACTTGACCTCAGCTCTAGCTGGTAAGTCTATCTTTAGCAAAGTCGACCTAGTTCGTGCCTACCACCAGATACCTGTCGCGCCAGACGACATTGCTAAAACCGCAGTCATCACGCCATTCGGCCTATTCGAGTACCTCAGAATGCCTTTCGGCCTCAGCAACGCTGCCCAAACTTTTCAGCGTTTCATTCATGAGGTAACGCGAGGACTCGAAGGCGTTTACCCTTATCTAGATGACATACTCATCGCCAGCTCTTCTGACGAGGAGCATCTTCATCACCTCGACGCACTCTTCCAACGCTTGACGCAGCATGGGGTTACCGTCAACCCCGATAAATGCGAGCTTGGCCAAAGTTCCATCGACTTTCTTGGCCACCGCATATCCGCCTCTGGTATCGAAGCTCTGCCAGACAAAATCCAGACACTGAAGGACTATCCTGCTCCCAGTTCCTTCAAACAGTTACGCCGATTCCTTGACCTGGTCAACTATTATCGACGCTTTATTCCTAACTGCGCGAGCATTGTTCAACCAATGACTGACTTGCTCCGCGGTAAACAACGGTCATTTCATTTTGCAGACGACGCTAGACTGTCTTTTGAGAAGCTCAAAGACGCTATCTCCAACATAGCGCTTCTCGCCCATCCAGACACGTCTGCACCACTCTCCCTGACGACTGACGCATCCGACACTGCCGTCGGTGCAGTTCTTCAACAACTCATCGACTATCGATGGATACCTCTAGGTTTCTTCTCGAAACGCTTACAACCTGCCGAATCGCGTTACAGCACCTTCGGTAGGGAACTGTTAGCTATCTACCTAGGTATCAGACATTTTCGTCACTATCTCGAAGGTCGACATTTTACAGTCTTCACTGACCACAAGCCATTGATCTACGCAATCAATGGCGCAACAGACAAGTATTCTCCGCGGGAAACTAGACACCTAGACTACGTTTCTCAGTTTACGACAGACGTACGACATGTCTAAGGTGCTCTCAATCCCGTCGCGGATGCGCTTTCACGCATTCAGCAGATCAGCTTATCGCCTGGCACCAACATTGATCTAGCCGCTATGGCTGATGCCCAACAAGCTGATCCCGACATAGACAAGCTACGACGCAACACCTCATTGAAACTACGCGAAGTTCCACTAGCTTCATCTGAGGGGACCATTCTTTGTGACGTCTCACAAACTTCTCCCCGACCCGTAGTTCCTACTTCGATGCGTCGACTAGTTTTCAACGCTTTACACAACCTGTCTCATCCCGGCATACGTGCTTCGCAGAAGCTCGTAACGGAACGCTTCGTATGGCCCAACGTCAATCGCGATGTCCGCCTTTGGGCACGCGCATGCTTAGAGTGTCAGCGCGCCAAGGTCTACAGACACACCAAAAGCCCACTTGGCGTCTTTCCCGCTCCTGACTCTCGCTTTGCACACGTCCATGTCGACCTGGTCGGACCTTTGCCTCCATGCAAAGGCTACGTGTACATTCTCACTTGTGTCGACCGATTCACCCGTTGGCCAGAGGCGATTCCGTTAGTCAACTGCTCATCTGAGACAGTTGCGCAAGCTTTCCTAGAACGCTGGGTAGCTCAATTCGGTTGCCCAAGCGTAGTCATCACTGACAGAGGATCACACTTTGACGGATCCTTCAGCAAACTGCTCAACGTTCTTGGTTGCCAACATAACCGAACCACCGCATACCATCCCGCAGCTAATGGGATGGTAGAAAGGTTCCACCGGCAACTCAAAGCATCACTCTGTGCCCAATCTAGCACATCCTGGCACGAAGCACTTCCGCTCGTTCTCTTAGGCATAAGAAACACGATTAAAGCGGATTTGCACGCCACTCCATCGTCGCTAGTCTTTGGATGCACACAACGCTTACCTGGTTAACTCGTCTCACCAAAAGCGCCAACAACCTTCGACTATGGCGACTACGCAGCTCGCCTATCTCATCACATGCGACAGCTTCAGCCTGTGCAACCCAGAGCACAGAGCTTGCGTACCCACATGGACGAACGCTTAACTACTTGCACGCACGTGTTCGTTCGCACTGACAGCGTACGCCGGCCACTTCAACCTCCTTATTCTGGTCCGTACCGTGTCGTACGCAGAAGCGACAAGACGTTTACCATTGACTACAATGGTAAGACTGAGACGATCAACGTCGATCAACTCAAGCCAGCATACCTCGACAAGTCTGACACTTCGGTGCAACAAGCACCTTCACAGCCTGCGCCATCACAGCTGGCACCGCAACCTCAGACGAGTCAGTTCGCTCCAGCAGAACCGACAACCTCAGCCGACAGCACTCCTACTCGCCCTACTATCAATCGACGCGGTAAGAAGCTCAAACCTCCAGTTCGTTTTTCGGACTTCGTTAACACTCACTATTTTACATAGAACGTGCCTCTGAAATTTTCTGCTCTTACCAAACGTTTTTGAAAATCCACAAAAAAGACCAAAATGTTTTTAAACTACCAAAAAAGAGCAAAACCTTTTGAAAACCCAAAAACAGCTTTGCACGTTTTCGCTTTGCACTCTTCTGTGTATTGCTATGCATTTATGCTGCTTTTTCAATTTGCTTTCCATATACACCGCCGGTTAGTTGCACTTCAGTTTTACTTTTCGCTGGATCCCCGCATGTCAGTTGGAAGTGGAACGAACTTCTGGCTCAACCGCCTACGTGAACTTAACTAACTGTCCCCCCACAAACAGCTTCTTACCGTCTCGACACCGTAGGGAGGACACAGGTGGGAGCCCGCTAGGGTCCGATTGCATGGTTCTCCCCCAGCAGCTGCATCAGGTTTCACAACCTAGTCTCCCAGAAGGCTGGCCCGCGACGGACAGTCCTCACGTAGATCGAAGGACTGCTTACACAGTCCCTTCTGGGAGAGGGCTATGTGGCAGTCTAGAGATTCCCTGGTTTGCCTGTGTAAAATTCTAACTAAAATTATTTCATTGTACACCTAGGCAACCGGTGTGATTTGTTGAACTGATTGCTGAGTTCGAATGCTTGACTTGCTCACTGCCATTTTTTCTTGGTGCTCGTTTCGGTTGCAACTCGCGACTGCCCTGTGTGCTGTGCATGCTCCTTTCCCCTAGCTAGAGCGTCCACGGTGTCGTTCCTTTATAGCTAGATAACAGGGAATCTTTTACTGTACCAATAAAAGTTTCTCTGCAACTCGATCTGTCTTCTAGTATCGCTCTCTGGGCTCCCGGTAAAGGCGACCCACTAAAGAAGTAATTTAAGGTAGTCAAGAGGTTTTGCGCCATCCGTTTCAAAAAAAAAACCATAGAACACGATCAGAGGTGCGTACAATGAACAATGATTTATAAGGCGTAAAAAGCAGGTGGTTGACATGTCCCGTAGGGGGTGAGAAAAGATAGATCAAGGGAAAATGGAATCGTCAGTTCGGACGATTACAGATTTAACTACGCTGCCGTATAAAGGGTTTGAAATTATAATGTACGCACACAAATAAACAAGATGAGTGGTTATTGATCACGTAACAAGCGAGAAAAAATGTAAAAAATAGCAAGGACAAGGCTTACACTAGTGCGCAACTATCTTGGGTCGGCAGGGTACAGAAATCCAGTTTCTATAGCAGTAGCATAATTCCACTTAAAGCTGACATTTCAATCCCTCCGCCAAATAACTCGACTTCATACCAACCTATAAAATGCACTCTGTAAGGCTCGTAATACCAGAGCAGGAAAAGCCAAGTGAAAGGACAGAGCGTAATCAATAAATGATCAGACAGTGTCGCCCATCCTCAGAGTAAGGCGTGCGCGTGTGGTAACCAGCTAGAGCAGGCCAGTTGACGATTGCTGGGTGAACGTGTGAAATATGCCTAGGAAGTATTTTCCAAGATGCCTAGTAAGTAGTTTTGCTACGGGCTGACCCCAATACCGATTGCCAAAAATCGCCAATGAGCATCCTACTCACCCCCACGCAAATTCTTTAGTACTCTAGTCACGAATACTACCGTAGAATATACAAAAAATGCACGTAAAATCCACAGAATGAACTTGACGGAACGTTCCGGCCAAGTACTAAGTGAGACATAGCCACCCATATCCCTATGCAAGAGCGAGATAACAAGGAGACTAACTGAGAAGACCATAACCGCACAAAATCATGATCTGTCCGGGACAGAGTTCCCAGTACAACCGAGAAAGTGCATCCAATGTCACCGATGATACTTGACAACAGGAGAGATTAAACAAGGACGAGACCGACCCCAGAGTGGCGGGACAATTAACAAGTGAAAGCTTCTAAGTGAAGTGAATTCGGCATATCAATGACGGTATGAGGTTGGGTGCCCGATTGCTTTTGAGGGAATGGTATATACCATTGCATGTGCTTGATGTCGCGCGACCTAAAGAAGTGCAAATGTGCCAAACATGATCACAGCATGAAGTGACAGGTCGTCCATCACTCTGGCCAAATCTACCAGGGGCATCCGGTGTCCTGGGAACAGCCGGGCCGAGACAACTTGCCTAAAGCGTAGGAAACACATCAAGTCAGAGTTATTCACCGGCTTGTGCGTAGTGCAAGTTATAGATATATTTCGTTGTGACAACTAAACACATACCGTTGCAGTTGAAATGTTTTCGCGGAACAAAAGATCAGCTTTTTATCTCAAAAGGGTTTATCACAAGACGACACAGGCCACAAATCTACAAATGCGTGGGATAAATACAGCGTTACATAACGGGTCCCAAGCTTGATGGTGTTCATGAACAACTCTGCTTTCTGTCTGTAGACTCTTCTGCAAAAGAAACCAATGTAGGTAGATGCTACAATAGCAGGTGAGTAGTCTGTGAATCAACCAAAAATGGACAAACTATGAATGATCACTGGTTGAAACAAAGCTCGCATATTGCAGACTTCCAATTAGTGTGTAGGGGCATGTAAATTATCCTCCCAATGTGATCGGGGTGGTGTACAGTCATCGCGATGAAGTAAAGTTATTATAAGCATGACCTTCATCGTATGCAGATAAGAAACTGTCGAGCAGGTTAGGCCTGTGTTTCCAAATTGACAGCAGGACTAAGCTTATTCCATACGAAACTGCTTGGTCTGAGGAATGCGTAACAGAGGATCTCTTTCAGTTGGAGATGCACTTAAATAGACCTGGTTGTTGAGCGATGCAAATATGTTACTTAAGAATATGGTGATTCAATAACGGCAGAGAATAACAAAGACGGCTGTTTCCAAAATTGCCGAGATGAGACGATTCGCATGACCTTGCTTAGTTTTACCCTAGACTCAAGCAGCAAGCGCCGTGATATAGCCGAAACAGACTCATCTGTAGGCTAAAACACGGGACACAGTGGCTTATTGTACAAATTCATCTGATTTTCAAGTGGACATTTTATACAAGATTCTGATTGAGAACCGAAATGTAGGTGAATTAGTGGCGTAAAAGTCAAGAGGCATAAGTATCCCAAAGAAAAGCAGAATTAGATTGAGAGTGTACATCACCCGTTTGAGTAGCAGTCAGATGAAGAATATATGGGAGAAATAGGCCAGCGCTGGCAATCTCACACCCCTCTTCTCATCCACTAGATCGACACAGGCAGGCCCGATTTCCTGTTCCTCCTGCATCATGCCAACCCAAACACGCAAGTAAGACAAGCAACCTACACGTAATCTAGGGAAATCGTACGCCCCCATATAAGTTCGCTGAAGACTAAATACCAGGTCAAAAAGGAAGCCGAGGAACAAGTAAACGCGGCTGTCAAATGAAACCGTTACCGTTATTATTAGAATACTGTTCTAAACCACCCATTGCTGATTTCCAGAAAATATGAATTATTTCATCAGCTGTTTACGTGAATGAATTCTAAGGTCAGAAAGGTTCTCTTACGAGTTGGTTGTTTGATATAGCTCCGTGAAGTTGTCCGAAAGTGGCGTCTAGTCGAATATACCCACAAAAGCATAAGCACATCAAACAAAAAATTTAGGGCTGTAATAGCCCGTGCTGGATGGTGAGTTGGACACATGCTATCTTGTTAACATGGTTCAAATGCAGTCCACCCCACCCAATGATGTGCGATCGCAATTCTGGAAAACTGTGGATTTCGAGATCCCTATACAACGAAGAGGATTTTCAAACACAATAATAGGAGTGTTACAAAAAAAAGTTGGTTACATCCGGGCATTGAAGATGGAGTAGTTGAACCCAATGACTACTGACACCTTAGATCCGACCGCCCAGAAAAGCCGCAGCACCGCATGTATGTGAGCGCCCACATTAGTAGAAACTAGTGTAAATCGGTTACCCGACAGGTGTAATAAGCAACTATTTGTTGGAATATAAAGCAAAGCTTTTTAGTACTCGTGTGTAGTCGTCGTTGCGAAAATTTATGTAACACATGATGTGATAAAGTTACTACGGTTTGTAATCTTTAGGTGCACATATCTTGGCCCAAACGTGACATTTTTATTCGAAAAAACCATTAGAATTGACACACTTTTGTTAACAGGAACCAAGTTTATTTAACCTGGAGTTCTGGCGGCAACGAAATCGTCGAACGCAGTAGCAACATTTCTTTGGGTTCTACAGTTTTCTCCCGGAGGAAGTTGTTCAGATGCCTGAAGAGGTGATAATGAGTAGGTCAGAAGCCAGGGGAGTATGGTGGGTGTGATAAAGTTTCGTAGCTCAGATCACGCAGCTTTCGCAGCGTTGTTCGCCTGACTTGCGGCATAGCGTTATCATGGAGAAGAACTGGTTCCTTTGTGTTGACCAGTGTCTGAGACCGGCGCATGTCGATAACTTGTCAACAATACTTTCCGTTGTAATGGTTTCCCCTGGATTCAGACAGCTGTGTTGGATCAGACCAGCTGCAGACCAGGATTGGTCCGTCTCCTTCCGCTTTGAGCAGAGCCCTCTTGAAAGTATCCACAAATCGTTCAGCTTGCCTATTTGACTGTGGATGATAAGCAGGTGAGCGCAAATGCTGCATGCCGTGTACCGAACAGAATCCAGCAAAGTGTGAAGAGGTAAACTGGGGACCATTGTCGAATACTACTGTTTCCGGAAAACCGAACCGACTGAATACTTTCCCTGAGGACTGTAATCGTAGCCGATGTTGATGTGTTCGACATTCGGAAGATCTCGGGCCATTTGCTGTATGCATCGATGATAAGTAAGTAGTTCTGTCCTTTGATGGATCCTGCGAAATCAAGGTGAACGCTTGACCATGGTTTCGTGGGCCTTGGTCAGGAGAACAGTTCGCATTTCCATGGCGATTTTGCTGCCAGGGTACAAGTTGAACAGGAACGCGTTAACTCCTCAATTTGAGAACACATAAACGGTCAGTAGACATAACTCCTCGCTAGAGCTTTCATCCTGTTGGAACCGCGATGTCCAGTATGAAATTGATGTGAGGCTTTAGATTGAAGTTCGGCTGGGATGAGGACATGTTCAGCAAACAAGATACAGTCTTCGACAACTGATAGCGCATTTCGTCTCTGGAACAATTGTTTTAACTGTGCGTCGGAAAATTTTCGAGGTTACTGTGAGTGGTAAAACGTGCTCACCTGTGACCACAGCGGGTAACGTAAGGTGGCATCTCGAATCTGACTGACAGATATTGGAAGCTGGCTTACAGTATCTGAGAGTACACGGTTAAATTCCGTTTGGATTGAGACATTTGCAACGGCAGTGTCTTATGGTTGGTGTTGTCACCCTAACAACCGTGACAGAGCATCGGCCTGACAAATGTCACTCCTCGATCGGTACTTGATGTTCAGATAGTACCCCAGCAAAGTTGTCATCCATCTCTGCAGACGATTGGCCGTTTATACAGGAAATCCTTTCTTCGAGTCGAATATAGCAAGAAGCGGTTTGTGGTCCGTTAGTAAGGTAAAGTGACGGCCATATAACATTTTGTGGAAATGTTTCACTGCAAACACAATAGTGCAAGCCTCCTTTTCAAGTTGGCTAAACTTTCTGCTGCTGTCAGTGAACGAGCGGCATGAGCGACTGGTTTCTCAGACGCATCTGGGAAAATGTGGGAGATGACTGCTCCACCTCCATAGCTGAATGCATCCGATACCACTACAATTGATAATTTTGGATCGTAGTGCGTTAGCATCAGTTCTGAGCTCAGTAACAATTTGATGCTATCGAAGGCTTCCTGACATTCGGTGGTCCAGACACACGGGAAGTCCTTCATCAATCGGTTTAATGGTCCGTATAGGTCGTGCATGGACGGTTGGTAGGTACCGTAATAACTCAACATACCCAGGAATGATCTCAAGGTCGCTACGTCTTTCGGCAGAGGCTTTTCCTTGATCGCCTTGATGTTTGATGGATCAGGTCTTCGTCGATTTTGGTCAATGATGAACCCCAGGAATTTAATGGAGATCATGAAAAACTCACACTTTTCTATTCGTAGGCGAAAACCATACTCAATTATTCTGTTAAGCACGCGTTCCGTTCGTTGATGCAGTTCCTCCTGGTTAGATCCCATAATAATGATATGGTCCAGGTAGGCAGCGACATAAGGTATTCTCTGTAGCATCGAATCCATGATCTGCTGAAAGATTGCCGGGACCAACTCAACGCCAAATGGTAGGCGTGTATACTGGAATAGTCCTCTATGAGTGTTAATCGTTAGCAACTCATGCGATTCTTTTGGCATTTCAATCTGGAGATATGCGTCTGACAAGTCCAGTATGACAAAACACTTGCCACCGTTCAGACGTGCAAAAAGGTCCTCAGGGAGGAGTAGAGGGTATTCGTGGTCTTCTAAAGCTGCATTCAGGCCAGTAGGGTAATGTGCACATAAGCCTATCTTTCCGTTTGGTTTCTTGACAATCATAGTGGGGGCTGCCCATAAAGAGGAAATCGTCGGTTTGATAACTCAGGTTGACTGTAGTCTGTCAAGTTCTTGGTTGACGACTGACACCACTGCATATGGAATCGGTCTCTTCGGTCGGAAGACTGGCTTTGCTTCTGGCCGCAGGGAAAGACTGGCCTTGGTTTTCGTGCACCATCCCAGACCACACTACCGCTGTAAAGACTCCGTTCACTCTGCAGATGCGTCGCTTACTCTGTTGAAAGAGAATTCAAGGGAACATCAAGTAGTTTCATATTCTCAATCCAATCGAGACAGAGTAATTTTTGATCGGGATGTCTCGCTATGTAACATACCCCTATGAAGTGAGAATCTCTGAACATTACAGGACAATAGATTTCACCGGCCAAGTCCAACGGTCCTCCTGAAGTGTTGGTTGTAATCCGAGTTGTCCTTTGAACAGCTATCTCACCGATTATTTTCCAAGTTGTCTCGGAAATGAGCGTGATGTCCGAGGCATCCGGGCACCTGGTTCACAACCACTGTTACAACACTTCGTTTTGTATCGAAGGAATCAAAGACGGGATAAATTTGAGGCCCTTGTTTTGCTAACGATGTGGGTACCAACGTCTAGGCAGGTTTGGTGTAAGCGTTCTTGTTGAAAATGATTGCACGGCAATGATACTCTTTGTTCCCCGTTTGTTGCATTTCTGACAAAGATGCTTCTTGAACGGGAAGAATTTGACGAAGTGCATTCGACACAAAGCCAGCAAACGGATGGTGGTCTGTTTGACTTCAATGAGTTTTGGACCGTCGGTGTACTCTCGCGCTGGTTTGATACCGTCAACACATCCACGGGACATGGACTGTGGCCTTGGGCAATCATGTTCGTATCGTGCTTCAACTTGGTTAACCTCTGGCATTTGGAAGTGATGGATTTGAGATTGATGGACGGGTCCTG